TTTTAAAATTAAACAATTATAATATACGTTAATTTGAATAGATAAATAATTTTTTAATTTTAAAACATTATATATATATATATATATATTCTGAGTTAGAGTCTCATGCTTATATGCTTATATATACATAATGTAAATGTATGAAAAAAATAAGATGGAAAGAGAAAGTAGATTATGTGTTGATGTTTTAGAAAGTTATCTAATTGTAAATTATTATATATAAAATTTGTTTGGATAAATTTTTTCAAAAATAATTTTTTTAAAGTTAATTGTAAAAGCTTTTTATTATTTTTAAAAAATTTTATTTTTAACTTTATTCATAAGTTAGTTTTAGTTTATGAAGAATCTTACTTAAATTTTATTTATTTATTTAGAAATATTTTTAAAAAAAATTATCCAAATAGGTCTATGGTAAGTTTGTTGACTTTTATTTTAACTACTTTAAAAGTTAATAATAATGATTCTTAATTGGCTAACAATAAAAAAGTTTTACATTTTCGATAAATGACTATTAAGGCTCGTTTGAAAAATTTATGAATAATTTATTTGAATTTATCTTATACATTTTACAAGTGCTTATGAGAATATTTGAATAAAATTATAAAATATCTTATGAAATATTTTATGAGTAAAGTATAAGAAGTGCTTATTTATTTTTTCATTATTTCACTAAAATCTAATTTTATATTTTTTGTTTCATTACTCCTTCCAAAAGTTTTCATTTTTCTTTTGAAAAGTTTTTGTTTCTTTTTTTGTTTTTTTTTTCTCTTCTCCAATTTCTTTTTTTCTTTTTCTCCCAAAATCCACATTTGCCTATTATAAAAAAAATTAAAAAAAAAAAACTCAACTTTTTTTTTTCTAAAACAGCACATTTGGAATTAATTTTTAATTTTAAAAATTTATAGCTCTTAATTTTTAATCATCGTTATATACAATTAATTTATGATATTTTATTATTAATTTTTTTTATAAACTAGAATTAGGTGAATGGAGGCTAATAAATTTTTTTTTTTATCATTTTAATATTATTGTCACGTATAATGTCATTTTTAAAAATTATTTAATTAGTTTTTATAATTTTATTTTACTTTCAGTCAAAATTTAGTTTGTAATTTTTAAAATATTTAAAATAAAATAATATTTTATAAGTAATTAAATAATGATACATTCAAACAATTTAAAATTGAATAAGTTATTGTTAACTTGTATATCTAAATACAACAACTTATTGAATTTTAACACTTATAAGATAAGTTCTTATTACATGAGAGTTTATTATATAAAATTTTAATAAGTTGTTTCTCCAAATTGATACTAAATTTAAGAATGTTTGATTGAAGAGAAATGAAGAATGCAAGATGACAATTTTATACCCCCAAAAAATTATTTATCATGTTCTGTAGTTGTATTTCATTTCATTTTTATTCAAATAGTCGAAAGAATAAAATATAGTGTTATTTCATTCCATTTGACTTCATGATACAATGTGTCGGAATTTTGTCACGAAATATGCAAAAGCATCTCTTGTATTTTGCCCAAACTATGATGTTAATTGACCATCAAACATACTAATAGCCTAAGAGAACTTAAGCCACTATGTAAAGGTTGAATAATAGCTCTATTACTTATCAATGCTTTTATTACATATATCTAAAACAGCCATAACAGTTCTCACAGCCAAATTATAATTGATGTAGACATTATGCGTTGCAAAGGGTGTGTTTATTTAGTTGAATCCATGAATATAGTGCGGGTGCATTGGTGCAAATGGTTGCAGAACATAAGTTGAAAAAGACATGTACATAAGAAGTTGGCGATCTTAATTCAAGGTTTGGACTACAATTGCAAGAGACATACAATATCTCAGACCTACCACACAATCATCCATTAACCAAAGTAGATATCTAACACAATCTGAAATCCAAGGGCAAAAGAGACAATTCATACCACCCTTCAAAACCATCTGCCAACAAAATGCAACTAAAAAAAAAAAAATCAAATATTTCCACACTATTCTTACCACCTTCTGCAATTGCACTCCCAAAAAATCCCCCGAAGAATCAGAGCCCACACCATCCTCCAAAATCCCCAACTTCATCGAAATTCCCAAAAAACCCTAATTTCCTTCCGGAACCCCTGGCCCTGGGAGGCGGAGGGCGTGACTAAGGGCGCAAAGGCCCTCCGGCGGCGTCGGAGGAGGGGAGCGAGGGCGTGTGGACGAGGGGTTGGGGGGCGGCGTTGTTGGAAGGCGGCGGCGGCGCAATGACGGTGGCGTGGGAGGGTGAGGGTGAGGGTGAGGGTGAGGGTGAGGGCGTGTGGCGGCGGAAGAGAATTTCTGGTCCGACAAAAGGAGCGTTTGCGAAGAGGCGTTGGTAGGAGGGGGTTATGGGACACAGGTCGAAGAGAAAAGCGTAGGGATCGTACTCATCACTCTGCCTGTAGTATGGATTCGGTCTTCCCATTACACCTAACAACTCTCAATCACTTTAATTAGGGTTTTCAATCTCCTCTCCACTCTCTGCTTCCCTTTTTCCTTCTTTTCACTTTTCACCACTTTCACTCACTATATTTTTACAAATAAAAAAGTATACGTATAAAAACTAAGGAATATATATATATATTTGTATACATAAATAAATATGTGAATTTTTAAAATCTTTAGAATAAATATATTTCTCTTATAAAATATTTTTATAATTATATATCTATTTAAATTAATAAAATAAAATATTAATTTTTTAAAATCTTATAATATAAATTTATTAAAATTTAAATTACAAAATTTTGATTATAAAAGTTTTTTAAATAAATAATACAAATAATTACATATTTATATAATTTATTAAAATTTAGAAAAAAATTATGTCAAAATAATTTTTTAAAATCTCAATTTAAATATGAAAAATATATATATATAACAAAAAAAATCTCATTCAAGAAAAAATCAAATAAATGGACTTTTCCCGCCTCCCTGTTAACCAAACTAACTATCACCTAAATATTGAACCAAAATCCTATTTATCTTATCAAAATTCCTAAGATCTTCATCAAATATTTTTTTCCCCTTTATAGCAGATATGTTGTATAAAAGTTAAAATCTTGAAAAACAAAAAGATATTTTAATAAAAATAAAATCTCAAAAGATAATGAATGTCCTGAAAAACGTAATCAGCATGGAACTCCTATATGAAGATAAGTTAAATAATCCTAATCTGTATAGTGCATCATATGTATTGGATTTGCATCTCTTAAAGGTGAAGAGTAGGGAATTGGAAATTAAGCGATACATTGTGATCTCTGTGCAATCCCAAGGTTCAGGAGTGATGGAAAACGTTGATTTGTGTTTTGTTGGTGAGGCACAGAAGAGAAAGCGGAAACTTTGTTCCATTCGTGATTACCCAGAAGGATGTGGCCCATTTGCCTCAAATAATGGTTCATCTGAATCTGATGATGATGATGATGATGTGAAGGACCCTAAAACTAAAAGGATTTTTCATCAAAGAAGAACAATTATTCAAGTTTTCAGATACTTTCCTCCTCTGTGTGGTCCACGACCACATGCTGATCATCTCTTTGCACAACTAGAGTACCACTTAACTCAACATGCCTTTAGATCGCTAACCATTCAAGATCATCATGCAAAAGAAACGCCTAATATTCTTCAAGATTCATGATTCATGATTCCTCCACATGCTTCAAACACAAGGTCAGTTCTCAAGGGAATGTTTTCACACAAACTGAACAAATTTGTATGGTTGTTGATGTTACACAGAGCTTTGTACGGTTTATTAGCCATAGTTATAATTTTTCCGCTTTAGCCTGAGAGTGAGATATGTATCGGTGTAAGCCATACTCATTCTTGAGATAATTGCTCTGCTTCTGATAATTAAGCAAGGATGAAAAAGGTTCTTAACCCTTTGATTAAAAATATGTCTACCTTTAAGTTTAAAGTATGTATAATATATAGACTTTCTCTACTCTCTATTATATTTAAATTTAAGAACATGAAGGCAATTGTATTTTATTCATATTCCATGTATCCTTGGATGGAAATTTATAAAGTAGATGAAGCCCATTATTGTAGTCCCTTGGACAAAAGGGCATTATTAACACAAGAAACACTTTGAGTGACACTGACAACAAACAAAATAACAGAATAATATAACACTAGTACTTATTATATTTGTAATATATACGTTGATGTTGGGGTGTCAAAGTGCGTATTTAGTTTCTAATAAGGGTGAAGTTTGGTGTGATAAGTAGCTCCAAGAAATTGGCAGCATCAGGGATCTTAGGCAGAAACCAGTTTTTGAAACCTAAACCAGATTTCACCACTCGGGGGGTTAGCAAAGTCAAACACTGCCCCATACACTCTGCGAAGAGGCTCCCATAGTTTCTTTCCTCTCTGCACAACATTTCAAGAACCAAATTCAATATTTATGTGTATGTTATATTAAAAACTCTTATATATTAAGAACTATATGTATGATATATATTGTCTGTGTGTGTGCGATATGTACATATTTACATACAAGTGGTGGTATAGTCTTATTTTCCCTTGTTTCTTATAGGCGTTTTTATAACTTAAATCATTGAGTTCTCAGTTCCGTGAACTGTTCACGGGTTTTGAATAGAAAAATCTACGGATGAGAATATTTTTGGACAAGATCAGATCAGCATTATGCGTTGGATGCGTAATTGAGAAATTTGGGCATATTTTAAGCGTGAATCCAACTTTGGTTCAAGTTATTCCTTTACAACGTCTATTTTCTAACTTAAAAGGTGATTATTTTTGTTTCTCTGCTATATTAGTAGTCTATTTTGATCCTTATTAAGGGACCAAAAAGATCAATAAAAACAACCTTAAGAATTAAAAGCAAGTAATTTTTAAATTAAAGAGACAAAAGTATCCACTTGCCATTAATTTAGAGGGAAATTATTCCTAAGGAAAAAGAAAAATAAAATGAAGCCATTAACTTGTAACAGTTAGATTGACGTAGTTTTGCTGTTAATTTTGTTAACCACTTGCCGTTAAACTATGTATGGTCAGAGATTTCTTTGTTAACTGGGTCAAAACCAAAGGGCAATAAAGAAACAGAGAAATGAAGGAACCTTAACACCATGTAGTTTTTTTTTTGTTGTTGTTTATAAAACACCATGTAGATGTAGGTTATGTCTCAGACGACATTATTCTATTTATAGTATTTAAATGATATAAGATGTTATCAAAATTCTGGTGCCTGGTTTACAGATTTGAATAGTCCTCCCATGGATAGTATTTTTTATACTCACGATTTTCAATAAAAAAAGATATACAGGTTTGATTTTATTTGAATGAAAGAGATAAACTTATATACCAAAAATCAAACCTGTATAAAAAATAAATATATTTTATGATCTATAAATTATGATGACTTGATAAATTATCAATATTTTTTCGAGAATTATATTCATTCATAAGGTTAAGAATAAACCCAAAAAGTATTGTAAGGAGGATGGATAAAAAAATCCACAGAAATCTCTCCATGATTTACGGAAGAGAATCTTATTTTATAATTTGCTCACTGTTATTTTGAATTCTATAGAATGATTTGTAACACTTGATCTAATATATGGTGAAAAGAAAGAATTAGTTGACTTAAATTCTCCATTTGCTAAGAAGATATCACTTAGAGGAGAGGGGAAAACAATAAAAGAAAAAAGAAAAAAAATCCACATACTACATTTTTATTTGTTCAAAAAATATTGTTTCAAAACACCCTCAGGGTACCGTAATAACCCCAGTGTTATTAGTATGCTTTCGCCGTAGGAGAAAGCTTTCCATTTGCCAATTTTTAAGTCAATCCTAATATTTATTTTCTCTTTAATAAAATCTCAATGTATTCTTACTGGTTTTTTGAAGTTAGCTACAGAATAAATTTTGAATTTAAGACTTTTGACACACAAAGCTCCTCACCACTGTTAAAAAATATGGTTGGTGTTAAAAAATAATTTATTAAATATTTCTAACGGCACTTACAAAACAAATACTAAAAGAAGAGTTTATAGCCGTGAACAACATATATAAACAATAACAAATCAGACACACATACTCAAAACTTTTATCATGAATGGTTATCTTATAATACCAACAAATGCTTTTCTTGGCTAGCTGAATCACTGTATTAAACATTAAGGGATATACGTCACTTAGTTGATGATTGCTATTTGCGTCAATATCAATTCGAATTATTAACAACATAAAGGCAATTTTATTTTATTCATATTCCATGTAATCAAAGATGGAGTGTAGATGAATCCCCATTATTAACCCCATCCCCTTTAGAATAAAAACATCAATAACATTGACAATGAACAAACTTAATCCCTTGTATTGCCTTGTAAGGATCCCAAAGTGCTTATTTTTCCTTTCTAATGAAGCTTAACCTTGGTGTCATAAGTAGCTCCAGGCTTCCAATTAGCAGGGATATGGATCTTGGAACGCACCCAATATTTATAGCCCAATTGAAACCTCAACTGGATTTCACCACTTGGTGGGTTAGCATAGTCGAACACTGCCCCATAGGACCTGCGCAAGGCTTCCCATCGTTGTTGCCTTTTCTGCTCAACATTTCAACAACCAAATTCAATGCAACTACACACGGAAACAAAGCCAATGTATATATACATAACAAAGTTGCTCATATCAATGACGTAATATGTTGATCACTTAAATATTATGTTAACTATTCATGTGACACATTATATCAGTAGTAAACTAGCTAACAACATATGGTTGAATTAAGAAGGTGGCAAAAGTTTAATGTTGATGTACCTGCCACATTTCAACAGCAGTGATGTCGTGTATTCCATTTACATTGAGAATCACGACAGCGAAGTAACCAGGGTTTGTGCTAGCTTCCTTGATATGAAACAAGACATTGCTGGTGTATGTACAAGGAACCCTTTTGTATTCAATATCCACTGTACCGTATTTCTTAAGGTTTGCAGATGCAGCGTTGTTACGTCCCAATTTTGAGAAGGCGCGTGGGCTCATAATGAAGTCTGTATTGTCACCGGCACCATTGTCTGTTACCACCAGGTGTGCTCCATTCACATCGCACAAACTTGGTATTTTGCACCTTACCTTAATCATCATCATTTATTTTTTATGAATTAACAATACATAATTAGTTCAAATATTTTGTTTCATTTGGCTAAGGATTCATGTGATAAATTAAAAAAATATATATATATGTTGAAGAGTACCTGATAACATGCACCACAGCCAGCTCCATTTCTCCATAGTCCAGACACATCTGCGACACTGCCATTATACACTGTCCTTCCATATTCGCCATAGCCACAAGCTCCACCTGAAAAATAATACCAACTTGTTTTGTGATTGTCTGCACATTTTATTTCTAAAAATTAGAAGTTATCAAATTCTTCAAATGTTTCCGAAAGAAAGGAAAAATATGTAGTTTCAAACATGGGTACACGTTCTAATTTTAACAAGCACAAGCAATGGAATGTATCTAACTATATCTAGGAGAAATTATTGCATGATAGGTAAGCTCTACATGACTTTGTTTCATGATTTGAAAAATATAACTACATGTCATATAAAATTTGGCCATAGTGTCGGATCATGTAATAATTTCTCTTATATATCTATGTAGTTAAGAACGTACTTGGAGCTCCATAGCCATCATGGGTACCATAATAGGTTGCTCTGGATTTGGTGAAATGTTCCTTGCAGTTACACAGTGCAGGGAAGAGGAATATGACACAAACAAGGCCAAGTTGGTGCCTGAAACCGAGTTCCATGACAAATTCTCTGGAGAGAAATGCAGGAAGTTGTTACGAGATAGTCACCAATGCGATAAACCAAAGGATAAGATGTGAAAAGGCTTTATGAGATTGGAAGCAAATATTTGGAGTTATATTTATAATACAGATCCTTAGCTCTTACTACATTCATATACTTTGTTTTAGTAATCGTTTCTGTAAAGTTTTACATTTCTGGTTCTGTGAGCTGCTCATTGATTTTGATTAGCAAAATCTACGGTTTAAAACATTTTTGGATAAACACGCAAGATCAGAACCCCTTTTGCATGTGATGCATAATTTAGAAATTTGGACATATTTAAAGTTTAAATCCAACTTGATGAAAATTATTTTTATAAGTTCATCTATTTTCTAACCGCTACGTTTTATTCTATCCAAGAGGTTATGGGTCGGAGAAAAATGATGACATGAATTTGATTAAAAAAAAGTACAATATTTTGATAAACGTAATTTGCTATGGAAAATATAAATTAATTTGAAATAACCAAATACAGTGGTACATTATTAGAAAATTGAAATAATTAAAAAAGGCTTTCACTCAATGGAACAGATTTATATGTTAGTTACGTGACACTCATTCCAATCAGTTCTAGTATCCTCACGATCATGAGACACAGGCACACCTACTAAAGATCTTAGGATAATATCTTCCGTAGACTTAAAAAATGATGACCGGACTTTAATAACTTTAGTCTTCTACACGAAAGCGCGCATAATAATGACAATGCAAGTTAACTTTATTATGACGTACTTTTTTTCTACAATTTACGATAATTCCATTTGCATCCTGCCCCAAGGGATTAGAATTTGTTGAGTTTATAGTAATTCATTAATAAATCTGCCGCTGAATCATAACAAAAGTTGGCAGTTATATACTAAATTAGAATTGTAACTTGGGTTATTTTATGTTATTTATGTAAGGGGATATTTCATATAAGAGGACAATTATAATTTTGTTATTCTTATAAGATTATATCACATAATTTTATAATAATGAGATATTATTCATTTTAGATCTAAGTTTTCACAGTTTTGTTTTTAGTTATCATCTAAAATATTTCTTAATAATTGGAGTATGTTTGTATTTATAAAAAAATTTATCTTATTTTATCGATATGAGATATTATTTGTATCCTAACATACACACATATATATATATATTGAGGAGAAGATCCACTAACTAGTTTAAGTATATTTATTTTACTCAATCTCATATTATACATAAAATTTTAACGATTTAACTGTTAAATTGAAAGTTTTTAATGTATAATTTAAGTTTGAAAATTTTAAAAAAAAATTAAAATCATATATACTTATTATATAGATTCAAATCAAAGTATAAAAATTTTTTATGATTATCTGTCAATTAAAAGTAATAAAATAAAATATTAAATAGTTTTTAAATTTTTTTAAAAATTTGTAAACTTGATTTATATATTAAAATATTTTAATTTAATGGTTAGATTAGGGATGGCAAAACCCCAAGCGTGTGGTTTAGCGGTAGGGGATGATCCACGCTTAAGCAATGTCAGGGGTTCGAATCCTGTCTTGTGTATGCAGTCGCGTTAAATCTTGGGGCCAGCTATCACACCCTTTGAAGTGCCCGCAACGTAGCGAGGAGATTAGTTACTGCTATCGGCGGTGGATACTCTAGGGACGAACAAAAAAAAAGATTAGGGATGGCAATGTGTCCCGCTAGATAAAAATTGGCTTCATATCCACCTCATATCCGTGCGGGTATCCATTAAGCGGGTATCTACGAATTTCTTGAATACCCATGGATATCCATGGATATTTCTAAATTTTTTAAGAAATTAAAAAAAATTATATTATAAATAATTTTAAGTTTATATTTAATGTCATTGAAATATTAAAAATAAAAATTCAATGTTAATTTTGAACTTGTATTTAACGTTAATTTTGTTGAAATAATAATAAAAATGCAAGATAATCAATAACTTAAAATACATCAATCTCACAAGCATGTTAAAGTCTTATCACAAAGCTACAATAATTCAATCTCATAATTCCAAACGAAAGTAAACAACTTAAAATACATAAATGTTATTGGTCCAAATGTCCAATTAAAGCTAGTAAATCAATTAAATTACATCCAACATAATTCTATAAGATGCTTAACACATGTTGGTAACTTCATCAACCTCACTTTTGTAAGAAAATAAGATGAGAGAGTGTAGTTTCAGGGTTATGTGGTACAAGGATAAAGAATATTTAAGAAATATTATTAAACGGGTACCCGCATGTATGGATATCATCATACCCGCCCCCGTCCCGTTTATAAACGGGTAAAAAATTATTCGTTCTCATTATCCGCAAGTACCCAATTAACCTATCCATTTATTATCCGTAGCAAATTTTACCGCAGATCACGGGTATGGGTATTTTTGCCATTCCTAGGTTAGATCATTGAAATTTGAAGTAAAATATGAGTTATTGAATGAAATAAGTGTACTAAGACACACACAAAGATATATGTTTGTGTGTATATATAAAATCAACTTTAGTCATATGTACTAGGAATGTAAAAATAGTTTTGTCGATTATTTTATTACAAAATCCAAGTAAATCTAATCAGATTGGATTGGATTGGATTTGTAAACTTTTTTAAAGCAACTACACCCAAATCAACTCAATTATAATTGGGTTGGATCAAGTCGAATCATGTTAAGCAATTAAAAAATAAATATAATTTAAAAAATTGAAGCAAACAAAAAAAATACTTAATTGAAATTTTAATACATGATTTGAAGTAGAAACAACATTAACAACGGTCATACATGAGAATTCACAAATGGTTCAAAAAAAAATATTATGTCACTAATTAAGAAATATTAAATTACATAAAATGTGAAATTAAAGTATTCTTCTTGCTCTACACTTTCTCCAATTTAGTCAATCAACATATTACTACAATATTTGGTGAAAAAAAAAGTAAAATTATGTAAAGGATTGTATTGTGTTGTGTTGTGTTATTTGTAGTATTTTTAATTTAATTTAATAATTTATTATAAGTCAGGTTATGTTGGATTAGTTTGGATTCATCGAGTAGCAAACTCTTTGATCTCTTACTCAACTTAATTATAATTTTACTTTTCTTTTTCACTAAATAGTATAGTAATAAGTTGATAGGCTACAAGTCAAGTTGGTTTGGATTCATTGAGTAGTAAACTCTTTAACCGATTACATAACCTAATTATAAAATTTGTGTCTTATTATTGTCTTTGTCAAGTACTAAGTATATTCATGCCCGAAAAAAATTAATTAAATATTTTTTTAAAAAAATATATATAATTTTTTTTAACATAATATAATAATTACAAAATTATATTAAGTTTTATCTAACATAAAATAGAATAAGCATTAGATAAATTTGAAGTAAATTATTTATAATAAAAAAAGTAAATTAAATTTCTAAAAAATTAAAAAGAAATAAGTATGAAACAAGTAATTGTAAATTAAAATGAGTATTTGTTGTCTAAGTTAGAAAAAGTTTAAAATTACCTACTAGATTTATTTGCCTTCCC